GAAAGAAAGAAAGAAAGAAAGAAAAGAAAAGACCATCTTGGCAGACACCTGTGGTCCCAGTTCCCTGGGAAGCTTGAATCCAGGAGCCTGAGATTGCTAAGAGACAGTCTCACTCTGTTGCCCAGGCTAGGGTACAGTTGCATCATCATAGCTCATTGCAAACTCAAACTGCTGGGCTCAAGCAATCCTCCTGCCTCAGTTTCCCAAGGAGCTGGAGTAACAAAGCTAAGTTTTGTATTTCTTTGTTTTCTTAAAGATCAGTCTGTAGGAGTGAGATACACATAACGAAATGATTATAAAAATAACATGAAAGAAAGGATACACACATTTCATAAGTACCTGAAGGGGGAAGCCACAAATGTAGTTTCAGAGGTGGTCCTCAGCTGGCTTCAGGAATGTGTTTGTTTTGTGAAGGAGGTGGAAAAAGGGCATTCCAGAGATGCTAGCTTGAACAAAGGCTGAAATGAGGGCTGTGATGCCCTGAGAACCGGGCCTAAGAATGTCAAGGCAAAGATATGTTTTAATAAAGCGAATCTTAGCTATTCCCCTAATTCCTTATGCAAAAAGGGAGGTAAAGGCCTCAGGCACCTGTGAAGAACTGGCCCCAGAGATCATTCATTAAAGAAACTGCTTGCTGACCTCTCACAAGCCAAGACACGCAAATTGTAACTTTACATCTGCAAGGCTTCATCTGGCTCCTAAAACTAAAATTGATTTTGACTCCACACTAATAAAGAATGCCAAGTTTATCTTTACAGGTACAGAACAGGAAACAAGACAGGATTAGACATTCTTCCACCTACCCAGAGACATTTACAAAATTGATGCTTCTTTCACTCTTTTTCTCTTCTAATATCTGCCTAATCTTATGAAAAATGTAAATTTAATGGCCCTCACAAGAACCTAGCAGTTTTGCCTTACTACTGCCCCCTCCCCCAATTCCCCTTCAGAAAAATAGCCCTGGGTCTGTCTGTGGTTCATGTTTTCCCCAGGCACGTGCTCAATTTTGCCTTAATAAATCTCCACTGATTGAGATTGTTTTCCTCGGCCACTTATTTGGGTAGACAGATGACAGGAAGGAGAGGCAGCAGGACCAGGCAAGCAAGGCCAGACAGAGAAGGGCCGGGTCCATCATGTTTGACTTCTAAAACAAAACATCTTAAAATTTCCTAAAATTTCAGAAGAAATGCAAATGACTCTAGATTAAGCTTTTGCCCGAGACACTGGCCACTTCCCTAGACTGGTTGCTTGGTGTTGGCAGGACCCTCTGTTTTGATCACCACCGGGACTGCAACACAGCCTGGCACAGAACGGCCCCGTGTGGCTGGTATTTCTTCCTTCTTTCATGCTTTCTCTTGAAGGCCTCCCCAGCTGCCTCAGCCCAAGGGTGCCAGCAGTAGACGTCTGTGCTTCAAAAGTCAGTCCTTTAAAGTTCACGGACAGGTCTTTGTCTTTCTGGGCTGCTTCCTCATATATGAAATAGGGCTCACAACTACCCACTGCCCAGGCCTGCGGTGTGGTGGCGCCAATGAACGCCAAGAGTGACAAGACCCGCAAAAGTCAAGAACAAGCTTCCACCCTCCGTTCCCGGGAAGCTCCTGCACGGTGGGCGGCAGTGTGACTAACTCGCGACCTGGGGACCTCTCACCCCTCGGGAGGTAGCACGAGCTTTACCGCTTAACGAGCGTCTTGAGGAAACGCCACCTAAAGAGGAGAGGAAGGGGAGGCCCTGCAGCTCCGAGAGCCAAGAGCTCTGAGTTCCCGCCGCCTGCGACCCTGTATGCTCCTGCCAGGCCGCAAAGCGCAGGGGACTCCACCAGCGCCCCTGTCCCCGGGCACCCCCTCCCCGCGCGGAGGTGGGGAGAAGAGGGTGGAGCGGCCTGACTCCTACAGCCAATGAAAGAAGCGGATTCCTGGTCCGATCCCCGACGCGGCTCACCATTGGTCGTCTCTCGGGTCTCGGCCCACCGAACCTTGGCGACCTGAGCCAATCGCTAGGCGGCGGGCGATTCCCCGGCTGCCTAAGCGGCTGGCTGCGGGCGAGGAGCGGACCAGGCGCGGAGCCGGCGGTGGTGTCTGGCGGTGCGAGCCCGCAGCCCTCCCCGCTCGGTGGCCGCGGCACCATGGAGCCCGCCGTGTCGCTGGCGGTGTGCGCGCTGCTCTTCCTGCTCTGGGTGCGCTTGAAGGGGCTGGAGTTCGTGCTCATCCACCAGCGCTGGGTGTTCGTATGCCTCTTCCTCCTGCCGCTCTCGCTCATCTTCGACATCTACTACTACGTGCGCGCCTGGGTGGTGTTTAGGCTCAGCAGCGCGCCGCGCCTGCACGAGCAGAGAGTGCGGGACATCCAGAAGCAGGTGAGGGCGCCGGGCGCGGCCGGGGCCCAGAACCACGGGCTCCTCGAGACGCGGCGTGCGCTTGGATAGCGGTACGCCAGGCGGCCAAGGCATGTGCAGTGCAGCGAACCGCCAGGACTTCACCAAGGAGCTGGCGTTGGAGAGGGATTGGAACGAAAAAATGAGATGGGGGAGGGGGAAGTCCCGGGGAAGGAACAGAATAAGCAAAGGCAGTGGGGAGCAAAACATTGCTCGTATGTTTATGGAGTTCCCACTGGGTGCAGGGCACGTGCGGACACCAGGGGCTGTAAAGAATCCTAAGACGGGAAGGTGCGCAACACTGGGTACCCCTCACCAGTCTCAAGCATTTTATGTATTTTTGAGGCAGAGTCTCACTCTGTTGCCCAGGCTAGAGTCCCGTGGCCTCAGCCTAGCTCACAAACTCCTGAGTTCCAACATCCTCCTGCCTACAGGCGTTCTTTCCACAAAGCCCGGCTAGTTTTTCTATTTGTAGTAGAAAAATAGACTAATCTGGAATTCCTGAGCTCAAGGGATCCTCCCACCTCGGCCTCCCAGAGGGCTAGGATTACCGGCGGGAGTCTCTGTGCCAGTCCCAAGCAGTTTGAAGGAGGAAAGGCTTCCGGGAGGTGCAGCTGGGTCTGGAGATTGGGCCGTAGGGTGGGTGATGATTGGGGGAAGGTCCGTCAGGTGACTGTTTGGTGGTGCACAAAGACAGAGAAGGGGCAAAGTGCAGGGACTGGAGCTGCGGGAGAAGGTGGGGAAGTCTGTTTGCAGAGGGGCCTCAACGCCAGGTTGGAATTTGGAGTTTATTTTGTAGCAGCAAGCTGCTGTGGCTGCATTTAGCATAGAGGGCTAAAGCGAGAAGGTAGAACCCTAAGGGAAGAGCCGTGCAGTTTTTAGTGACAGAGGGCACACTGGTGAGTCCCTCTCCCAGGACCTCTGGCATCCTCCTCATGCCAGCACCCACAGAGCCCGTGCCCTGCTACGGCTCACAGAGACACCTTCTCCACGTCCAGGGCTGGCATGGACATGGGGTCTGGGCAGTTTCTTGGTTCCCTCTGCCCTCCTTATGTTCGTCTCTTACTGGCATCAGGTTGCAGGGACAGAGCTTCTGTTTCCTGCAGCCACCCTGCAGAAGGTGTAGCGGCCTCTATATTCTGTTTGTTCTACAGTGAGTGTTGCAGGCAAGAGCAGGAAGATGGTTGCGGGGAGGCACTCTTGTGGGAGATAAGCCCTTGGGCCTGGTGGGAGATGCAGCATCTGGAAGCAATTTACCCTGCTGTCCCTGGTTTTGCTGGCCACAGTCACATGGCTCCAGAGCCCTGCCAACCCTCCTTCCCTAACTGCACTTTCTTTTTTAGATGGAGCCTCAAGCTAGGTAGAGTACCATGGTATCACAGCTCACAGCAACCTCCAACTCCTGGGCTCAAGCGAGTCTCCTGCCTCAGCCTCCCAAGTAGCTGGGACTACAGGCGCCCACCACAACGCCCGGCCATTTTTTGGTTGCAGCCATCATTGTTGTTTGGCGGGCCCGGGCTGGGGATTCAAACCCGCCACCTTAGGTGTATGTGGCTGGCACCTTAGCCACTTGAGCCACAGGCTCTGAGCCCAGACTGTGAGCTCTCGGAAGGCACGGCCCGCTATCTGACTTATACTGGCTTGTGGGGCCTGGCTTAAAGCAGCCTAGTGAGCCCTTACTAATCTAAACTAAACCAAAGGGCTCATTCTGTGTAGGTAGACAAGGGGCTCCTTTGGACTGGCCCACTGCCCTGACCTGCCATGTGCCACACCCTGTGCCATTGACATCCATTATTTCAAGTCTTTACAGCAGCCCTGATAGGTCTTGCACCCGAGTTACAAATGGGAAAACAATTGAGGTTGAAACTAAGTTATGTGCCCAGGATAATGTAGCTGGTAAATGGGGTTAAGGCCCAGGTCAGCTTGATTTCAGAGCCCAAACTGCCAACATTTCTAATTTTAACTACCCATGCTTCTCCCCACCCCTAATCCTGTAGGTCTGGTTCTGTTTCATCACATTTGGCTTGTTGTATTATCTACCTGGCCATTTGCCCTTTTTCAGGGCTCTCCTCACCTCTTTGGCCAGCATATACTCTCTGAGTGCCTGCCCAAAGTCCCTGACCATAATCTTGAGGAGCCAGTCCATCCAGGGTTCAGGCTTCATGGCTTCCATAATCACTTTGTGTGGCTCACCCTCTAGCTTACATGTAGCAGCACCCTAGATCCATTCTCTCTCACCTCAGTTTGTATCAAGTCCTGGGGCTGCAGAGTCAGGCAGGGACGAAGCCTGGTTGGTCACGGAATCCCACCTCTCATACCTTCACCCCCAACTCAGGAATCCCTTCCTCAATACCTGCCCTCTCCCAGCTACCTAGGCTCTGCTAATAGGAAAGTCCTTTCTCATATTGAGCTATTTGGCTGGCCAGCTCCAGTGCAACCTCCTCCAGGAGGTCTGAGCAGTATTTGGTGAGATTTTGGTTGCAAGTGAAGGAAGCTAAATTCAAACTAGTGTGAGCAAAAGGACACTTTATTGGTTCAAGTTCTGAAAAGTCCAGTAGTAAAACTAGCCCAGGCCTGGCTATATTCAGGACCCTCTATCTTTCCATCCATCTACCATCTCTTGGTTTTCCTTTCCTCTGAGTTGACTTCATTTGGGGGAGATTGTCGCCCTGTAGGGGCCCCAACAGTTTCTGACTTATAACCAACCAGCTTTGAAACCCCAGTGAAGAGAGAGTGCCTCTCCTGGAACTGGACTTGCATCATAGGCTCATCCCTGAACCTGTCTATCTCTGCGTCCAGCAGGAGAGGCTCAGACCTGGGTTATGCACCCACCTCGTGATGCAGGGGGGAGTAGTATTAGCCTCTGTGGACCCAAAGGAAGTTGGGATTATTCAAAGCAGGTGAAGAGGAAATGGATGGTCACAGGTCAAGACAACGGATTTCCATCTCCTCTGTTTTTATCCATCTCAACAGGAGCACTTCCCCCTCTGTTCCTGGTGGGCTTGTCATCCTCTGGGCCATTTATTCCTTTGTGCCTTGTGCTTTGGTCACTAACATCAGAGGTTTTGCAAAAGCTGTTCCTTCCATTGGCTTGGTGGTCCTTTTCTGCCCCTTCTCTCCCTCGAAGTGATACATGAATTAATACACATGAATGCTTAGAAGGGCCTGGCACAGAATTACCCTCAGTCAGTGTCAGCTCTCACTCTGTGGACTACTACACATACTACAAACTCATACAGTCCTGGCTGTGAGTCTGGGGCCTGCCGTTCCCCAGTTGTGTAATGTTGGGTGCCTCAGCTTTTCCTCCTCTGCAAAAGTTTGTCATCCTAATTTCCTGGAATTGTTATGAGAATTAAACAGGACAGTGTGCAATAGGCACCTAGCATGCTGGTAAATCATTTTTATAATTGCTGTTGTTACCATTACAAAACATTTTCTGAACTTTCCAGTTAGAATTAATGTTTTTAAAACGCTTGGATCCTATATTCTAGCTCTGTCTTCATTCTGCCTTGTGGTGTAGCAACATGTTGGCCTTGCTAGGCAGAGTGGTGCCAGATGGTAGGGCTGACAGGCCTTCTCATCGTTCCCTCCATCCCAGTGCCTGGACGGAGGCATCCTTCCCAGCTGCTTGTCCCTGAAAGCAGGACGGCAAGCTGCTCTGGGGATCCTGGTGGGGCCAACTCAGCCTCTGTCTTGCAGGTGCGGGAATGGAAGGAGCAGGGCAGCAAGACTTTCATGTGCACGGGACGCCCCGGCTGGCTCACGGTCTCGCTGAGGGTTGGGAAGTACAAGAAGACACACAAAAACATTATGATCAACCTGATGGACATTCTGGAGGTGGATACCAAGAAACAGGTGAGAGTATCAGGAAACAGTTCCCTGGCTCTGGGAGCAGGTGGGCCACTGCCCCTCAAACACATCACTATGGGAGATGATTTTAGCCAAGGGCATCTCAGAGTGAAAAGGACCAAGGCCTGTGGTCATCACAGAAGGCTCTGTCCACCATTGCTGTCCTCCAAAGCCTCGCAGCCACCAGGGAGAGAGATAGGTCATCGTCCCCCTCTCACCTTTTGGTTATTTGCAGTTCCACAAGGAGGGAAGAATGGGGAGATCATGGGCAAAAATGAGAGACAAAAGGAAAGTTATTTACCCCATCCTAGTAAGGAAGCATGCTGGTGAAAAATGGGCCATGAATGTGGCTGGATGGCGTGGGCTGTGTTACAAGCTTTCTGGAGCTTATTTAATGGCCTTAGAAATGTGTGTCGTTGGCTTGGCATCTGTAGCTCAGTGGTTAGGACACCAGCCACGAGGACTGGTAAGTTCAAACTGGCCTGAGCCTGTTAAACAAACAAACAACAACAAAAAATACCCAGGCATCATTAATGTACATAGTTACCATTCAAT